AAAACCAAAATGGAGAAGCCATGTGTGAAAAACTAAGCACACCTTATGATTCAATAGTTTGTACAATCACCTTTAGCAGCAATAACTTGCAGTAATCATTTTCTGTCTGACTTTATCAGTCTCTCGCATTGTTTGCCCGACTCTTCTTTACAAAGTTGCTTCAGTTTATCGGGCACACAAATAATAAGCAATTTTGCCATAAAATGGACAAAACTTATAAATCTAAAAGTCAAAATAGAAAATAGACCATAGGGTAGTACTGTACATTTAAATAAAACCAAATAAGGGCACAAACCCTCCCAACTCAAACAGCTGGCTCAGACTTGGGTGCCATGAAGAGAAAGCAGAGGTGGATGTCTCCTGAGATTGGCTGTATGTCTCAGCCATGCTGTAAGAGTTATCCTCCAATGCAAATCCAAAATGAAGGATAAATGGTTAATAAATAGTTTACTAGGCAAAACAAAACAAGGTAAAACCAATTCTCAATAAAGAGAATCAAAAGTCCACCTGCACTTGACGTGTTTCCACTCTTGTCTTTGCTTTCATTCTGGCAAAGTTCCTGCCTTTTATTTTGAGTTTGACTCTCTTTCCAGCTTTGTTTGATCACCACTTATATCTCCTGTTCTTCTGCTTACATCAACGTTGACGTCAGGACGCCCCATGTCTAAATGTCCCGGTGCCTTGACATCATGAGGCTGCGATTGTGGGTCACGTGAATCTGCTCTAATGCCAATGTCCTTACATCATGACGTCTTCTCATCCAGCCTCAATGCAGCTCTAAGTCATATGATAGGCATTCAATTAAATCATTAATTCCATAGCAGATGCGAGGGCCCCAAAGTCTAGTCTGCCATATTTTTTGAGTCCAGAATAATCTCCCAATGTATAATACGTGAGGGCACTTAAACAGTCCGAATTCTTAGGGAATATTTTTTAAAATATATACATAAACCCCATACATTTCTCAATAAGTACAACAAAACTTAAAACTATATCTTGTTACAGTACACAAAAACTAATAAAAATGCTGTTTAAAATTATGCAAAATGCAACATTTAAGAGGGCTTCTATGAATCTTAAATAATAACAAAACAAAAACAGTGTTTTTGAATATTAATTATTAAAAATTATTAACCTATATAAGACAGAAAAAATATAAAATTAATAAATGTAACAAATTAATTGTAAAACTGAAATTCAAAATCGCCATTTAAGCTATGGGATAATAAAATATCCATATCAAAAATCCATTTCATCTTTGTTTTGCTAATGATATTAACATTGTCCCCAGCCTCTATTATGAACCTCTGAAAAGTGCTTAGATATTTTATGATTTGGGAATATTTTTTTTATATTGTTAATATTGTGAATCTTGACTTTTTAATTGTAGACATAATGCATTTTTTAACATTTTTATTTTTAATCTGTTGTACTTTACAACCCCTACGGCCTTCACAATAATAACCATTTGTTTCCTTTAAAAATGGTTACTTTATTCTTCGCTTCCTTATTAATAAAACTTTTGGTTCAAGTTTCTCGCTCTTCTTAAAAAAAAAAATAGTTTTTTTCTTACAAAAGATTTAATGTCTTGATCTTGTTTTAAACTATGCCAATTTTTCTGCATCGCCCTGCGTAGATTGATTCTGGTTGTTAGAACTAAAGTCAAAATTAAGAGGAATTTCTACCTTTTCTTCCTTCTCTTCCCCCACATTGACCTGATATTCCAACAATCTTTGTCCATTTTTTTTCCTATTCGTTCGCAGGTTTTTCCAGCAATATTGGATCATGTCCTCTTTCTACAAATAGTTCCTTTCAAATTTCCGCTTGATTCTTAGAATCTTTTAATTCAGTAAAATTCCATCTGAGTCTTAGGAATTTACCCTCCGGTATGGTTTTTAGCCACCGTTTATAAAATCCCTTTTTTCTATTTTCACGTTTGTTGTTTTATTGGTCACTCTAAAGGGATTTGTTGGTTTTAGCATGGCTATTTCCCAGCTGCGTAAAAGTTGGCAAAAAGATGTGGAAAAAAAGTTTGAGATTAAGAAAAAAGCTTGTAACGGAGTTATCCTTATTAATGATGATTTAGACATTATGTACCAACAATTAGAAATAAAGGAGATGAAAATCAAATGGGAAGTTTTTACATTAGAAAAATAAATAAATCAACAAATAGGGGAGGTCGATTTTGTAAACTTCCCACCTTTGATCAGGAAAATAATATCTTTATGGGTTTATTTTTGAATAAGGCTCTCAAATCTTTTTCAATGAATATGATGGGAATTATTATTATTATTATTACTATTATTATTATTCAAAGCAAATTATGGGAATTATTTTTATCATTATTATTATTATTCAAAGCATATGATGGGAACTATTATTATTATTATTATTATTATTCAAACCATTTAATGGGAATTATTATTATTATCATTATTATTATTATTCAAACCATACGATGGGAATTATTATTATTATTATTATTATTATTATTCAAAGCATACGATGGGAACTATTATTATTATTATTATTATTATTATTATTATTGTTATTATTCAAACCATACAATGGGAATTATTTTTATCATTATTATTATTATTCAAAGCATATGATGGGAACTATTATTATTATTATTATTATTATTCAAACCATACAATAGGAATTATTATTATTATTATTATTGTAACGGACCGTTTAGCATAAAAGGGGAAAAAACCGCTTAGACGATAATCCCCCTTTCAGAGACAGGCACAACTACTGTAGAATCACCAAAACTCACGAACCGCCAATAAGTGAGTTCTCCAAACTCCCGAACGGCATACAAGGGAATAAGGTAGCACTTCAAATAAACGAACAGGAACCATACGAATAGCTGCTAGCAGGCGAACAGGAAAAGCTTCCAAGCGGCTTACACTCCTGGCAATCAGTCCTTAGCAGCATACAGTAAATCCCCCCAAAGACGAGACAAGGCTCCGTGTTGAGGGTCAAGCAGTGGTCTGTTTAATGAGGGCTACCTGCCCAGCTTTTATGCAGGTCTCCCACCTGGTGGACACTCCCCTAGGGGACCAAATGGGAGACTGTGACAAGGGACAGACAAGTATACAAAAAGGACACACAGTCACAGTATATTCCCACAATGCATCCTGGCTTCCTCCCCTCTGCCCTGGGAGATAATTGGGAAGTAACTCAATTATCTCCCAAGACAAAGGCAAAACTCCATTACACACGTGGGAACACAAAACAGCATTATACTTTAAAATGCACAAAGTAACATTTACTACATTAAACACAGGCATGTAACATATCCCCAGATAGCTCAGGTCTGAGTGCACATTATTAGGTGAATGGCACTCAGACTACACGAATACAGTTCAATCGCCATGGAGCCAAAGTCTTTACAGTCAGTTTCATACGAATGGGCTCCATGGGATTCCTATCTGGGGTATAAGACATTCACACAAAAATACCGAACACCGGGTCATTCGTGTGCTTTCACCGAACAAGAAGGGAGGTCGGCGGCTTCAGCGGTGTTCGCGCAAAACTGTGTCCGATTTTAGTTCCATGAAAATAGAGGCGAACACCGCTGTTCATTCGTATGGTTTAAAATGGCCGCGACCTCGTGTTCGGGATACGAACGGCGGCCACCCAGCGTTCATCAATTAAGCTGCGGTTAACCGCAGCTTCAGGGAGGTTAATTGCCGGCACACTCCAGCTCCCAGGTGGTCCAGTCATTCGTACGGTTGTTCGGTAGATTGAAACTACCGAACAACCGGCAGAAAAGCATGAATATGGCTTTTCTGCATGGAAAAATAAAGTCTTTTAAAAGGGGGCCATAGTCCAAAGGCAGCAGGCGAGCAACCAGGCTTCTCCAATGCAATGTGGCGAGATTGGTCTCGTCACAATTATTATTATTATTATTATTATTCAAAGCATATGATGAAAATTATTATAGAGCAAAGAACACAAACTTTGCATCAATTAGCACAGAGTAGTTAGGGTGTAGGGATGTCCTGACATCGACAATGGTGTAAGCAGAAGAAGAATAAAAGCTCTGGAGATGTAACAAAGCTGGAAAAAGTGTGAAGGATAGGAGCCTATATCTCTCCAACTTGTCTATGTCTCTTCATCTTGTCTCACTATGTCTCTTCATCTTGTCTCACTATGTCCTTCCATCTTGTCTCAATATGTCCCTCCGACCTGACTCTATCTGTCTCTCCATCTTGTCTCACTATGTCCTTCCATCTTGTCTCACTATGTCCCTCCATCTTGTCTCAATATGTCTCTTCATCTTGTCTCACTATGTCTCTCCATCTTGTCTCACTATGTTCCGCCATCTTGTCTCACTATGTCTTTCCATCTTGTCTCACTATGTCCCTCCACCTTGTCTCAATATGTCTCTCTATCTTGTCTCACTATGTCCCTCCATCTTGGCTCACTATGTCCCTCCATCTTGTCTCACTATGTCCTTCCATCATGTCTCACTATGTCCCTCCATCTTGTCTCACTATGTCCTTCCATCTTGTCTCACTATGTCTCTCCATCTTGTCTCACTATGTCCCTCCACCTTGTCTCACTATGTCCCTCCATCTTGTCTCACTATGTCCTTCCATCTTGTCTCACTATGTCCCTCCATCTTGTCTCACTATGTCCTTCCATCTTGTCTCACTATGTCCCTCCATCCTGTCTCACTATGTCCTTCCATCTTGTCTCAATATGTCTCTCCATCTTGTCTCACTATGTCCCTCCATCTTGTCTCAATATGTCTCTTCATCTTGTCTCACTATGTCTCTCCATCTTGTCTCACTATGTTCCGCCATCTTGTCTCACTATGTCTTTCCATCTTGTCTCACTATGTCCCTCCACCTTGTCTCAATATGTCTCTCTATCTTGTCTCACTATGTCCCTCCATCTTGTCACTATGTCCCTCCATCTTGTCTCACTATGTCCTTCCATCACTATGTCCCTCCATCTTGTCTCACTATGTCCTTCCATCTTGTCTCACTATGTCTCTCCATCTTGTCTCACTATGTCCCTCCACCTTGTCTCACTATGTCCCTCCATCTTGTCTCACTATGTCCTTCCATCTTGTCTCACTATGTCCCTCCATCTTGTCTCACTATGTCCTTCCATCTTGTCTCACTATGTCCCTCCAACCTGACTCACTATGTCCTTCCATCTTGTCTCAATATGTCTCTCCATCTTGTCTCACTATGTCCCTCCACCTTGTCTCAATATGTCCCTCCACCTTGTCTCACTATGTCCCTCCATCTTGTCTCACTATGTCCTTCCATCTTGTCTCACTATGTCCCTCCATCTTGTCTCACTATGTCCTTCCATCTTGTCTCACTATGTCCCTCCAACCTGACTCACTATGTCCTTCCATCTTGTCTCAATATGTCTCTCCATCTTGTCTCACTATGTCCCTCCATCTTGTCTCAATATGTCTCTTCATCTTGTCTCACTATGTCTCTCCATCTTGTCTCACTATGTCCCGCCATCTTGTCTCACTATGTCTTTCCATCTTGTCTCACTATGTCCCTCCACCTTGTCTCAATATGTCTCTCTATCTTGTCTCACTATGTCCCTCCATCTTGGCTCACTATGTCCCTCCATCTTGTCTCACTATGTCCTTCCATCATGTCTAACTATGTCCCTCCATCTTGTCTCACTATGTCCTTCCATCTTGTCTCACTATGTCTCTCCATCTTGTCTCACTATGTCCCTCCACCTTGTCTCACTATGTCCCTCCATCTTGTCTCACTATGTCCTTCCATCTTGTCTCACTATGTCCCTCCATCTTGTCTCACTATGTCCTTCCATCTTGTCTCACTATGTCCCTCCAACCTGACTCACTATGTCCTTCCATCTTGTCTCAATATGTCTCTCCATCTTGTCTCACTATGTCCCTCCACCTTGTCTCAATATGTCTCTCGAACAGGTACCAGCGAAACAAACAGTGTTGGATTTGTTGACTGAGCGTTAAAACAGCAAATACGAAGCCTCCTGTCATGTTCTAAAATTGTAGATTATGCTAGCTTTAGTGTACCTATAACCTTAATTTTATTAATGACAGGAGGTGAATATTTCCCTCCCATTCTTATCCCTCCCTGGTTTAACTTTAATGGTTTGGGTTCATCAGGTACGTATGCAACTCTGCTTGTTGTCTCTGCTACCTGTCGCCTGTTCTTATGTCTGTTTTTTTCCACGTAAGGGCTGGGATCTATGCATATTAGGGTATTTCTGGTTATTTCGCTGGGTGCCTACATGTATTGTTCAGAGTACAGTTCGTTGGCTAACCAATCTGTTCGATTCTGTTTTCTCTCGTTTCAGCTTACAATCCATCAACGCTATCTGGTTTGGCAGTTCTTCTCGGATGGTGGACGTTGTTGTTTTCATTGTATCTAGGACTTTGTTTTTTCTCCATTATAGTTCTGTCTTTTGTTCTGTTTTTGTCGCAGCTTGAAAGGGGAAATAATGTATGGGGAGGGGAGTTTTATAGAACCTAACTTTATTCTGATTGGTTGTTTTTCTGTGCTGCTGTGGAGTTCTAGTAAAGAGAGACTTAAGCAAATACAAAGCCTCCTGTCATGTTATAAAATTAAGATTATTGGTACACTAAAGCTAGCATAATCTACAATTTTGTCACTTTAAATCAACAGAAGCAGAGGGATAAATATTTATAATGTAGTGCTTCGTATGTTCGCATGGCATCATAGAAACAAAGCAATATAAGAAAAGGGGGGGATTGCAATTAGTATAACAGGCTGGAGTTTGGCTAAAATTTTTAATAATACATGTAGTAACTGCATAAATACATAGAGACTGCGTTCGGCTGTTTAGCCGCCTGTGGCGGAACCAGCCTCGCCACTGGGCATTGGAGAAGACTGATGCCAGCCTCCTTCCCTGTGACTATGGCCCCATGTTAAAACGTTTGATTTTCTCCTGCAAAGACCTGAAAGCCGGGTCATTCGGTACATTCCCTATGTGAGCAGTGATACCCCAGATAGCTATGCCATGGAGCCCATTCGTATAATGAAAGACTATGTGAAAGACTTTGGCTCCATGGCAATTTAACTGTATGTATGTTATCTGAGCGCCATTCAGTAATAATGTGTGCTCAGATCTAAGCTATCTGGGGATATGTTAAATGTAACTGTTTTGTGCAATGGCTGCACAGTTATATATTTTTATGTATTTTATTGTCTTTTGCTACCATGTGGCTAATGGACTTTTGCCTCTGTCCTTGGAGATAATTGGATTACTTCCAAATTATCTCCAGGATAGAAGACTCTGTGGAACCGGTTTTGGTTCTCTGTGGAGCCATGCTTCATTTGGTCACAAAGGACTTTGAGCTAACTTTTGACCCACTGGACCAATTTGTATGATTTTGACATATGTTTGTATTTGGAGTATGCTGATTCTGAAAATATAAGTTTATGTGAATGTGATGTATACTTTTAAAGTTATAAATATTGTGTAAAACTGTGTATTTTCCTGCCTGTGATAATTACATTAACCCGGTAAGGTAATTGTATCACAGGCAGAGGGGAGGATTTTGTGTGGGAGTGTCTGAGTGTATTGTACGTGTTTATTGGTTGTTTTCCAAAACCCTGTGGGTGGTACTAATGTGTAAGAATGTGTCTATAAGAACAATAAACCCACAGCTCTGCCTAGTTCTAGTTCACCCTCAGTTTAGAGTGTCGTCTCTTATTGCTACAAGGGATTGCTGTGCTTGTCACTACTAAGCTCTAAGCTCTTGTAAGAGCTTGTTCCTGCCTTGCTCTCTGGAGGAGTCTACGGTGGTTATGGTGTCTGCTGCAGTGCTTGGAGTCCTCAGGAAGCGCGAGGAGCATCCCTTCAACTTAGGTACCCAGTTGGGGTGCCAGGTGATCCGTTACACAGCCCTTAGAAAAATTAACGAACGTAAGTATAATAGAAAATAGTGATGGGTTCATTCGTATGCACGAACAGTATGATTGGTTAAGATACATGGAAAAGGAGAATTATTGCAGAGATATGATGGCTTTCGCCAAACTATATGAATGGTGAGACTGATTGCAAACATGTTTACAGCGGTCGGTAGTTTAATCGCGTGAATAACTTAACAAACGTAAGTATGCCTGTAGTCGACTGTTTAGCCGTATGAACCTCGGGAGTGCACAAACGGGTAAGTATACGAACGGGTAAGTATACGAAAGGGTAAATATATATGAATTGCATAGTTTAATAGTGGAAGGGAGCCTACCCCCACGTTTTTAGGCCCAAACGTGGGAAATAGCCAAACGCTATTTCCCACATTATGTTTATGTGGATGCGCCGGTCTCGTGACCGGAAGCCAGGTAGCATAACTGGGGAGAAGCCAGGTGGCAGGACCGGAGGTCGGAGGCAGAGAATACTGCAGCGACAGGACTCCTGCTAGCGTCAGTGACTTTTCCTGGCGGGAACTCGGACCGGAAGTGCTGGTTGCAAAGGTGAGTCAATCAGCTTGAATGACAGAGGTGAGTAGGGGTAAGGGGTTTAAAGGGCCACTATAGTGCCAGGAAAACAAACTCGTTTTCCTGGCACTATAGTGCCCTTAGGGTGCAACTCCCTTACCTTTTTTCCAGCACCGGGCTCCCTTGGCGCTGGGACTCTCTTCTGATGTCATCGGCTGAATGCGCATGCGCGTCAAGAGCCACGCGCTCATCTAGCCAGTCTCATAGGAAAGCATTCTCAATGCTTTCCTATGGATGCTGGCGTCTTCTCACTGTAGAAATCACAGTGAGAAGCGCGGAAGCGCCTCTAGCAGCTGTCAATGAGACAGCCACTAGAGCCTGGATTAACACATATGTAAACACAGCAGTTTCTATGTTTACAGCAGGCAGGGTTAATCCTAGATGAACCTGGCACCAAGACCACTTCATTAAGCTGAAGTGGTCTGGGTGCCTATAGTGGTTCTTTAAGTAGTGGCCTTAACTCTTCCCACAAATGCAGGCCTAATGGCCTTTTAACATATATATATACACTACAGCACACCTCACACTGCACCACTACACACATTATACTCCAGATACACGCTAGATACCCTTACCCAGCACTGGATCATCTAATCTACACACACACATACACACACTAGATCCCTATATACACTCTGAATCCTCTACACACACACAATCTCCTATACACACTCTGGGTCCTTTACAGACTACATCCCTTGTAAGCAAACACATACTATATCCCCTATACACACTATGCCCCCTATACACACACTCTCTACAGCCCCTAGCCACACATATTACACCACAAACACGAATGATACCGCCCATTTACACAAAACCACAGTGGGCCGCTATGATTGAAAAATGCCAGGGCCGAATTTTTTCCCCATTCCCGCCCTGTTGTTGTCTGATAGGTGATTTGTTTTTTAGGACATGTGTCGTGGTTACTCTTTTTCACTGGGGTTTTGGAGATAGATATTGGTTAGGGGTTGTGTCAATTGCAATATTGTCACAGGGTGTATCACTGTGACGTTATTTGTAGTGGTGGGTGAGATTTTGTTTCAACATTTTAAGGGATGGTGGTAGTATGTAGTTAGTGGCATGTGTTGTGTATTTGCATGTATAGTGCTGGGGTATATCCTTTCTTTGAACGTTTTTTCTCGGGCTTTGAGATCGGTTGTGTAGTCCATGACGTAAGGAGGAGTATTTGTAGTTGTGATTTTTTGGTGATATCATTTTCTACCTGGTGATCTCTACGTGTGCTGTCTAGAGTGTGATTGTTCTAATTTGATTATTTGAATAGTCCTGTTTGTCTCTTATAGATTTTTTTTACTTTGATGTGTTTAGTTTCTGTCTCTATTTTTTCCATTTTACTTTGTACCAATATGGAATTCTGTTTATATTCCTGAGTCTCTAGAATGGAGCTAACCTATATTTTAATTGATCCATCTCTCTGTCTAATGATAGGAGTTTGTGATTATTTTTGTTGATGAGGGTTCTCATTAATCCAAAGGAACAATTTTGTAACTGTTCAAACCATTCATTTATAAATATGTCGTCGTCTTGATCAGAGGTGATCTTATGATTTTATAGCTGTAATCCCTTGGGTGTCATTTTCTCATCAAGATATTTTTGTGGGTTGCGATCTCTCATTTTAGTTTTATTTACTTACTTATGGGTTTTTCAAATTGTGTAAACAATATTCTCTGTGAGTCTCTAGCTTTGATTATCTGATTTTAGTCAAAATTATTGATATCTTCATTAAATGCATCTAAGTTAAAGGACCACTATAGTACCAGGAAAATAATCTATAGTGCCCTGAGGGTGCCCCCACCCTCATGGCCCCCCTCCCGCTGGGCTGAAGTTGGAGGAAGGGGTTAAACACTTACCTTTCTCCAGCGCCAGGCTCCCTCGGCGCTGGAGACTCTCCTCCTCCTTTGGCTGAATGCGCATGCCCGGCAAGAGCCGTGCACGCATTGAGCCAGTCCAAAGTAAAGCATTCTCAATGCTTTCCTATGGACGCTGGCATCTTCTCACTGTGAAAATCACAGTGAGAAGCGCGGAAGCACCTCTAGCGGCTGTCAACGAGACAGCCACTAGAGGCTGGATTAACCCATATGTAAACACAGCAGTTTCTATGTTTACAGAAAGCAGGGTTAATCCTAGATGGACCTGGCACCAAGACCACTTCATTAAGCCTAAGTGGTCTGGGTGCCTATAGTGGTCCTTTAATAGTAAACTGGTTT